TTAGAATACAATTCTGTACTCATTTCCATTTCTTTTTGCATTGCTAAAGAAATTTTTTTAATTAAAATACAAATCAACAGTCGCTCCGTTGATTTATTTTCACTGCTAAAGACCCGTTTTCTTCAGCAATTAATTTTTATTTTCATTGAGAAAGAACTGTTACCTTCAGGATCAATCATTTTCCAAGTAAACTTAATAACAAAGATTCATTAGTCACTTTTTTATGTACCATATTTCATTGATTAGTGAAAGCTTTTATGAACACGTTCTTTTATAACCATAATTTCTACCAAATACAGTTTTACTGAGTCAAATTTTACAGTTAAATATTATCAGATTGTATTAATCCAACAAGTTTTAGTAAAGAAAATTTACCAGTTTTTCGATAAATTTGTAGCTGTCATGGTTGATTATTTTTATTGTTTTACCAAGCCCAATCTTCCCAGATAAAGTTTTGAGTTTTTAGCATTAACAAAAGACAGAATGCTTCAGTCAATTTTTGAATTCTAAAAAATTTTGCTGGCCAGGTGGGGTGGCTCACACCTGTAATCCCAGCAAGGCGGGCGGATCATGAGGGAGATTAAGAGATGGAGCCATCCTGGCCAACATGGTGAAACCCCATCTCTACTAAAACTACAAACATTAGCTGGGCTTGCCTGTAGTCCCAGCTACTTGAGAGGCTGAGGCAGGAGAATTGCTTGAACGGGGGAGGTGGAGGTTGCAGTGAGCCAAGATCAAGCCACTGCAGTCCAGCCTGGCGCCTGGCGACAGAGCGAGACTCTGCCTCAAAAAAAAAAAAAAAATTGCTATGTGCAATTTTTGCCAATTTTAATTAGTTCTCTTTTTGTATTATTTCTACCAGTAGCAGTCACTGTGCATTGAATTAAAAACTGACAAAATATTTCTGCACTGTTAAAATTTGTTTCTCCGTTTTATATTAGGTTATCCAAGAGAAACCCTAAAGAGTGGGTAAAAAGAATGTCTTCAACAAAAGGCTGGGAAAAACATCCTGGAGTAAAATACTCTATTGTATTCCCAGGGTCTAAGAGAATGGCTGTTAGACTCTTAGACCCTAAAATCCAAGACTCTCCCTGCCAACACCCCACCAGCTCCCAGAAAAAAACACTGAACAAGATCATTAAATTCTGATAATTCAGAAATTATTTATAGTTAACTTTGAAACACATAAGATTCTCAGACTTAGATATACCCTTTTCTTTTGCAGAACAGCAGGAAGGCATGAACTATGGAGATAGACTGGCTAGGTTTGATTCTTAAGTCGACCTCTTCCTAACTCTGTGACCCTGGATAAGTTACTTAACTCCTTTGTGTCAGTTTATAAATCTATAAAATGAATATACTGCTACTACTTACTTCACAAACCTACTGTGAGGCAGGATTAGTGAATATATGTAAAACACTTATATCAGTATTTGCCAAATAGTAAGTGCTTCCTTAATGTTTACCTCCATCAACATTTCCCTTGTCCCTTTCCCAGTTACTCCCATTTTTAAAATTATGTAGGCCATACAGCAGGGAATGCAGAGGGCGAATAATTCCAAAAGGTAAAAACGAGATCATGGGAACATGAGATACTGGAACATAACCTCCTATATCTAGACTACTAGTATTACAGAAAATATTGACTAATTTGCTATGTCCCAGAATAACCACCCCTAACAATCCCATGCTATAATTTTAAACTGTAAACTGGGTTCTAATCTATTTCTCCTTGGCCCTATAATGCACTTGCCAAATCTATACCAAAACATGGTCAGCATAAACAAGAGACTTTAAGGCCTATCTGCAAGATTCATAAGGTGACTAGGCACACTGGCTCATACCTCCCAGCAGTTTGGGAGACCAAGATGAGAGAATCACTTGAGCCCAGGAGCTTAAAACCAGCCTGGACAACACGGCAAAACTCTGTCTCTATAAAAAATACAAAAACTAGCTGGGTGTGGTAGCAAACACCTGTGGTTCCAGCCATTCAGAAAGTTGAAGCAGGCAGATTGCTTGAGCCCAGGAGGTTGAGAGACTGCAGTGAGCTGTAACTGTGTCACTGTACTCCTGCCTGGGTGACAAAGTAAGACCCCGTCTCAAAAAAAAAAAAAATTCCTAAAGGCAGGATGCTTAAAATCATGTCTTAATAAAGGGAAATAATGTCATTTAATATTATTAGTGGGCATTATCATTTTAATGAACAATTCCTAAGCATAGTCACTCTGGAGTTGAACGACTTAATGGTACATCCCATAAACCTAAAGCCTTTAATATTCTTTTTTTTTTTGAAATGAGGTCTTCAGGTTGGTCTCGAACTCCTGGACTCAAGCAATCCTCCCGCCTCAGCCTCACAGTGTTGAGACTACAGGCATGAGCCACTGCACCCAGCCTAATATTATTTTGTTTAACAATTCTAAATACACATATTGTTTTCAATGGCACAAATGAAATTCAAAATATCTCATGTAATCAAATTCAATAAAGAATGTGAATATTCTTGCAGATTATATGTTTTGAGTTTTAAAATTACCAAGACCTACCAAAATGTTTAAAATGTATTAACATATAACTTCAATATAAATTTGATTGAAACTTTTTATTACACTGAAAAGCATATAAACATTAATATAGAAATCCCTTCAAACTGATAATCAGTTTTCCTTATCTAGTAAGAGACTGAATGTCAAATAAGTATAAAGCAAACCTAGAAGACATTTCTTTGCATTAAACATCATTTTCAGAATTATGTTTTATAAGCATAGCAGAGACTATACACTTCATATCTATTCAATACCTCCTGTCAGAGCATATATGGAACTAGTACTAAGTGGGAAAAAGAACCAACAAACTACAATATTCTCAGATATCTAAATTACCTGCCCAGCATTTTGAATGCACTTAAATATTACGAGTTAATCATCAATTTCAATTTTGACATTCCAATCACTGAACATGCAAAGTTTTTTTGTTTTGAGACAAGATCTCGCTCTGTCGCCCAGCTAGAGTACAGTGGCGCAATCAGGGCTCACTGCAACCTCTACTTCCCAGGTTCAAGCAATTCTCCTGCCTCAGTTTCCTGAGGAGCTAGGATTACAGGTGCCCACCACCACACCTGGCTGATTTCTGTATTTTTAGTAGAGACAGGGTTTCACATGTTGGCCAAGCTAGTTTCAAACTTCTGGCCTCAAGCGAGATCCACCTGCATAAGCTTCCCAAAGTGCTGGGATTACAGGTGTGAGTCACTATGCTCAACCTTTTGCAAATATTAGAGAAAAAATAAAAATGAAAATTCTCATACCCTGTTGATAGAAGTGTAAAATGATATAATCACGTTAGAAAATGTCTGGCAGTATCTTAAAGGTTAAATCTATATGGTTCCCTAATCTAGTATTATGCCCATGAAAAAACTACACAAGAATATTCATAGAATCTTTATACATAATAGCCAAAGTCTGGAAAGTCCATCAAAAGATAATGGATAAATAGTGTGGTATATTTATATAATGGAATACTGCTCAGCAACAGAAAGCAATGAGTACTAATAGAAGGATGGATGAACATGGATAAAGATTAAAAACACTAAGTTAAAAAAAAAACAGAAACAAAGTATGCGTACTGTATGATTCCAAGTATATGAAGTTCTAGAATGGGCAAAACTTATCTATAATTTTTTTCAAATTAAGACAGTGATTGCCTGACATGCTAGAAGACTGATTAGAAGCAGGCAAGAGAGAACTTTCTGAAGTGATGTTTTAAATCTTGATAGAGGTTTGAGCTACACAGTTGTAGATCAAAACTCACCAAATAGTATATTTTAAATTTGTGCATTTCACTGTATGCAAATCTTACCTAAAAAACACACATGCACAAATAAATACTGAACTCTAGTAATACTCATGCTGAAGTACTTAGACGTAAATTATTCTAATTCTACAACTTGTTTTGAAGTTAACATTTTTCCCTTAAAAAAAAAGAATTGGACAGATAAATATGTGATAAAACAAATATAGCAAAACATTAATTCCAGAATCTACATGATAGGTATATGAGTACTTACTATAACTGTCTTTTAACTTTTTCTGTATGTTTGAAGAGTTTCTTAATAAAATGTTAGGGGGAAAAAACTTTATAAAAAAGGTGAGTTCACATATAAATTTTAAAACACAAAAGACCTGCTAGCAAAGTGTAATTTTAATTATATATCCTTTTAGTTTAAGTTGTCTGGACTGACATGAGTGGTATTTTTCTTTTCTTTTTTTTGAGACGGAGTCTCACTCTGTCACCAGGCTGGAGTGCAGTGGAGAGATCTTGGCTCACTGCAACCTCCGCCTCCTGGGTTCAAGTGATTCTCCTGCCTCCCGAGTAGCTGAGTCTACAGGCACGCATCACTGTGCCCAGCTGATTTTTTGTATTTTAGTAAAGACAGGGTTTCACCATGTTGTCCAGGATGGCCTCGATCTCTTGACCTGTGATCCACCTACCCTGCCCTCCCAAAGTGCTGGGATTACAGGCGTAAGCCTCCATGCCCAGTGGTATTTTTATTTTTATGTACTCATTTATTTTGCTTTCCACTATTACAAAGCAATTGGAAACTAAAAATAATATCCTCAAATTATAACTACTAGCTTTAATCAATATAAAAGATATATAAAAATATATTGAACAGTTTCTCAAAATTGTATACAAAGATTTTGCATGACTGTTAATGTTTAATAAGGTTGCTTATTCTAAAAAGTTACTCTTTTGTTTAAGTATGCAACCATATTTCATCTAATTAAAGTATTTACAATAAAATTCACCATCAAATATTTGATTTTGAGAAGCTGTGGATCTTAACATTTGAAAAAAAATGAAATGTGATATTTAAATACGGTACATTGGGCATCTATGATAATTGTCTAAATAAATGTATTTCAATTATGCCTCATCAAAAAATGTTATCGCTACAGTACTGAATTATTTGTCTTAACGGCACACAAAAGAAGTACACGAATCAGTACAAAGTATTATCTTGTATTTAAAAGAACATGTGTTAACAAGGCATTTAACCATCATCATCTACAGTATATATTAAACACAATTTATTACACTCTAAGTTATTTAAACATGTGTATTTAAAATTTGACATTACTCTAAAAGAAGGCACATAAAAAAACTCATATTTTAAACATTTTCACCTAAGTAAAGATAGAACAGGGTAGAGTGACTCCTTTAAAAAAATGAAATAACACCAAGTTGATATCTTCTTCATCATACAAAAAAGAAAAATACTTAATTTGACTATTTTAAGAAATATGGCATTCGTTAGAAATGAGTTTCATTGACTTTTCTTAGGATGTCATTACAAATCATAGCTAGTTTAGAAAATCATAAGTTGTAACAACATATCCATTTACATTCATATAGATAAGAGAAAGACAGGAAAGTGGCTATCTACTATCTGAATTACTAATGTATTAGATGAAATAATCTATTTATTTAGTATATTTCTCAAATGTAATATATTTCTACAGAACCAAGTCTACATTTAAAAAAAACCACTGTTCTCTGTGTTCACCCAGCATTACATTTTGTAATTAAAGCTCATGGCCCCCAAACAAGTGTCTATGGTATGCAGGATGTCTCGCGGCTTAAGTTATAGTCATCCCTCAGTATCCAAGTGGGATTGGTTCTAGGACGCCCTCTACCCCATCAAGATCCACAGATACTCAAGTCCCTTATATAAAATGTTTGTATTCACATACACTTTACACACATCCTTCCATATACTTTAAGTCATCTCTAGATTACTTACAATGCCTAATACAATGTAAATGCTACATAAATAGTTATGCAGGATGGTGAGCCCCAAAATTGGCAGTTAGCCCAACTCCTATCTCAGTTATGCTGTATTTTTAAATTCTGTATTACTTTTTTATTGTTAATTTTTCTTTTGCTTCAATATTTTCAATCCATAGTGGTTCAATCTGCAGATGTGAAACCTGCAGATAAAGAGCCAAGTGTATATTCCATTGATAGTAGCAAAATTTCCCCTTAATGAAACTCGTCCTCAACAAAAACTGCTAATGTTTTTGCTAATGTAAGTAGTCCCCAAACTCGAAAAAGTCTCAATGTGAGAAAGAAGGAAAAAAAAAGGTTTGGTTCCAAATTACCCTAAGATACTCTGTAAGACAATAAACAGCCTCCAAAAAGGATTATATGGTCAAATAAATAATTTTCTTTGTACAGGAATTCTCATAAACTATATACTATGCTAAACATGGTTGTACAAGGGAAGGTAGACAATGAGCAGAATTAAATGCATTTAAACTTTTGCAAATAACAAGATTGCCGGGCACAGTGGTTCACGCCTATAATCCCAGCACTTTGGGAGGCCGAGGTGGGTGGATCACGAGGTCAAGAGATCGAGACCATCCTGGTCAACATAGTGAAACGCCGTCTCTATTAAAAATACAAAAATTAGCTGGGCATGGTGGTGTGCGCCTGTAGTCCCAGCTACTCGGGAGGCTGAGGCAGGAGAATTGCTTGAACCCAGGAGGCAGAGGTTGCGGTGAGCTGAGATCATGCCATTGCACTCCAGTCTGGGTAACAAGAGCGAAACTCCGTCTCAAAAAAAAAAAATTAAACAAGATTGACTGGGAGAAAAAAAGATTGACTTGGAAAAATTGCTGCAGTAAACTCAGAGTGTGATTCTGGTGTTTAAAATTATGTACAAATAGGTTTCTTACTGTATATAGCCCCTAAATGCTAATGAATTGTGTCATCTAACACACTAAAGAAAAAGCAATCTGAATGCTGGAGAAAAATATGATTGTAGCAGACTGTGTTTATGCTATTTTATGGTCAGCAAAGGAATTTTCAAGGGCAATTTTGTGTATACATAATTTTTACTTTTCACAATTATTTCAGAACTTAACCACCAAAAAAAGATGTCTTTTCTAGAAACATCTCATAGAATTAATGTTCCACAGAACACACTTGGGAAAACTCTGATTTGCTGTACAAAGCCAACATTCAAATCGAACATTCCATTATCAATTCATGCTGAAACTGTAAAGTGAATTACATCTCATATATCTGCTTTCAATAATTTCAAAAAATAAAGCTTACTAATGCAAAGATGTATTTACTATAATTATACTGTGAAACATTACCTCAAATTGAGAATTACAAAATTCATTAGACTCAAAGAGATGTCATAGCACAGATTAAAGAGAAAAGGTAACATTGTCAAAATGATATGCCACATTATATATTCAGGACATCTTTATAATTAAAAAGTTAACTCTACCAAGCATAAAACACCTTCGTTTTAATCCAACCAATGAAATTAAGCAGTCAACATGCTAAAATAGTACCTTAAGAGTTCATTTTATATTTTTTTCTATTTCTATAGCCATGACTTAAATTTCTGATTTAAGTTCCTCTCAATACCTGTCTTTAAATGCCACTTCTCCTAAATCACAACTATAATCAAATGAGTCCCCTAATACAAAGCCTTCAATGGCTCCCCATTGTATAATCAGTTAAGTTTCACTCATTATAAATAGTATTTAATGTAATTCATAATATGGTACCAACTATCATCCAAATTTATATCCCTCAGTTCACTTTCAACTGTTCTTCAACAAAAATTTTGAGACTAGTATGATTTAGGCACCAAGTGAGATTCTAAAATACTCTGTTTCACTGGTTCCCAAACTTTAGCATGCATCAGAATCTCTAGACGGTTTATTAAAGATATTGCTGACCCCACCCTCAAGGTTTCTAATTCAGCTCTAATTGGAATTATATTTCTAACAAGTTCTCAAGTGATGCTGATACTGCTGGTCAGGACCCATACTTGGAAAACTATTGCTCTACTCCAAAGGCCACAAAGTGGAAGACCAATGGTTCAATGAGGCCCACTCACATGTTGGCTATATAATGTCTTGAAAGCATGAGTTATTTGCAAACATTTTAAAATTGGAAAATTCTGCGTTAAACCAATGTAGATTTCTGGTTTTCTCCCACATGTGAAAATTGTGCTGGAGCTAAACAGCAACTATCCTACCTAGTCCAGGGAGATGTCCCTCCTAGTCCAGGATACCACAATCCAAACTCTCTCTACACTCACTTAAAATCACTGGCTTAGCACTGCATTTGTGCTTATACACCCAATCCACTTTTTCCCATTTCCTTGTCTTTCTTCCAGCTTCTCACTCTGACTTCAAACACCCATGTTCCTTCACTGCTGAAATTCCACCTACCTCATTCTAAAACTTGGCTTAAAAATTCTTTCTCAACAGAACCCCAGCAAAAATAGAAATTCTTAAGTAAATACTTATTAGATATTTAATATAAATTTAATATATGTGCTTTAAGAATCAAGGTTTTATTTCCACAAATACTAAAATGACAATACTTAAAAAAACATAAAATTTTAATTTCGTTCATTCTGATTTTTGCTGTGAAAGAAATTTTTTCCAGAACAGGACATTTAAAATGAATTAAGATAAGTCTTTAATCGCATAGCCAAAATATATAATAGCATCAATGGAATACCTTATCTATTTTGCTGGGCCGAAAATAGAGAGAGAATGGGGTAATTGATACAAGTTTCCTGATTTCACAACCTAACAATCTTAAAAAGCAATTCTAATGAAACAAATGCTTCTAGTATTTAAATCTAGAGAATATTTTTAAGGATATTTACTTCTATCAAACAGTGGGAGGAAAATTACACAAAGAAAAACTAAGTTCTCGTCCCTGCTCTGCCATAAATAGCTTTGTTACCCAAAGTAAATCACTGAGTTCTCCCTGGACTTCTGTTTCATCACCTCTAAAGTGCGGAGGCAGAAAAAGTGTTCTCCAAATATCTTGAAATTCCATCTCTAAAATCCTAGGATTTACTCCTTCAAAAGATAAAAGCATAAAAAGCAATATCATACAGACAAGCTTCTTGGTATTAGGTTAGTACAGCTTCTAAATTAGACTAACTTAAAAATCTTTAACTACAGTTTTCAAAGTTCTAACTAAAAATGTTGAAGACTCAGAACTTTGAAAGAATAAGTGTTTGTCGTATTTGTGTACATCTTAGTGATCAGAATAAAATATCTTTTGTAAGGTCAACAAACTCAGAAAAAAAAAAGAAGACAATAAAAACTATAACCATGCCAATCAATCAGTAAATTTTAATATCTCAAAATAAAATAATTAGAAAATTATATCGAAAAAGTTTTTCCATAATAGGGATTAACAACATTTTTTAAAAGCATGTATTCTGTTTCAGGATACTCCCAAATTAAAGTAATTTGGCCAAAATCAAAATTATCCAATGCAAGATTGATTTAAAAAAAAAATCTTAGAGACTGTTATATTCAGGTAGATCATGCCGTAAGCGAATTGCTTTCAGCTTCTCCACTTCAATTTTTGCTCTTAGTAGTTCTTCCTCTAGCTGCTGCCTTCTTTTCAATCCATCCCTCTTCTCCTGAACATACAATCCAAAATTTTTCTGATTTTCTAAAATTATCTGATGCTCCTCTTTCAACATTTGCAGGATCTGAGGATCATACCCTAATAGTGACCTAACGTGTTCGCCACTCTCATGCCGAAAAAAATCATCTCTCCTTGGAATAGAAGATGGAGACGATGTCATTCTCATATCAACAGAGGAAAGTGAAGGTGACAAGGATCTTTCCATAACATGTACTAATTCATGTTCTTCTCTTTGCTCTAAAGTATCACTTTGTTGAGAATTTAAAACCAGTGGAGGAGGTGGTTTAATGTCTTCTTCTTGCTTCACCTCCACTGTAATGGCAACAGGATGGTGATCCAACATTACCTGTAGTGAACTGGTACCAGCCTGTGCCTCCTCATCCAAGTTTGCACTATAGCACACAAAAAAGCATTATAACATGTAAATCAAATGAAGAAAAAGTATATTTATAGCATAATTTTATATTTAATATACATTAAATTATAAAGTTTTAAAACTACAAAGTTATGAAACCAAAAAAAAACTTAACACTTGAAATACCCTAAAGTGACTAAGATTGGGATTTCAATAATATATACTTATAGGTCTCCCCCATCCTTAACTTTAAAATTGTGCTCTTATAGAGGCAGGAAATTACAAATATTACACAAGGCCAATGAAGAAAATAAAAAAGAAAAGCCAGTTTTAACATTGTCAAATAGACATCTATTTTCCCCACAACCCTGAGGTTCTCAAATGGCATAAAGAGTCATTTAATGCATTCTCAGTCTTACTATCCCCAGACCTTAACCCTCGATCTCCTATTCTGCTCTCCTGGACTGATCTTAAAACCACCAAGGCCCATAACTCCTAGGACGACAGTGAAAGGCCATCTACGGGAGATACTGATTTCTGCATTTGCCCAAAAAAATAAAACATAAAGACTGTGTATATCCTAACTTTCTTATTTCAGATGCAATGGCACTTCCCTTTTACCTATCCTGAACCAGATGACTCAGGTGCTCTTTAAGTCTTTCAATCGCCCCGGTGGCTCAAGCCTGTAATCCCAGCACTTTGGGAGGCCAAGGCGGGTGGATCACGAGGTCAAGAGTTCGAGACCATCCTGGTCAACATGGTGAAACCCCGTCTCTACTAAAAATACAAAAAAATTAGCTGGGCATGGTGGCGCGTGCCTGTAATCCCAGTTACTCGGGAGGCTGAGGCAGAGATTTGCCTGAACCCCCAGGAGGCAGAGGTTGCGGTGAGCCGAGATCGCGCCATTGCACTCCAGCCTGGGTAACAAGAGCGAAACTCCATCTCAAAAAAAAAAAAAAAAAAGGCTTTCAATCACTGTTCAGGCAAAGTTCACAACAGCAACAGTTTTAATCCACCACTGCAAACTGAGTACCTAGTAGGTCCTGTACTTAGAACCTAGTAGATGCTCATTATATGTTGAATGACTGAAAATACAAATTAAATGATTTTTAATAAAATATTTTTAAAAGCCTATACACATATATTAAAGGTTTATTACATTTACAATTGATTTCCACCAAATATGCATTTTAATGGAGACAACTACAGCTTCAGCATAAACTTCAACATACCAAGTTATATTATAAATGCAATAAACCTTAAAATTCTGTTTTTTAAACATAATTTTATGTATAACATGAAGCTGTGAATTATGAATATCTGCTCCTTGAGGTTTCTTTTTTTAAATTATGCTTCTGCCTAACTAAACATAAAAGGTAGAGGGAAATGAGATTATTGAACATTAATGGAAATATTTATTTAATATTATATGGAGATTTTACAAATGATAAGAAACATAATTAAAAGAATATTTTATATACGAATAATTAAAATGCTGGAACAAGTTCAAGTAGAATGCATGGAGAAAGATTAAAACTACCCATATGTCACTTACTAATGGCATTAAATTGCCAGAAATATCAGATATTTATCTAAGAGACAAAATGAAACACATATATAGTATATAATGAAAAATCTATCGGTAGATTACATAAATTCATTTTTGTTCTTGTCCCTATTTGTGTTATTTTATGATTTCCAAAAGCAAAACAATTAATTATAAATGTAATTCAAAGTAGCAAAATCTGCTTCTATTATTAATAGCTCTGCTAAAACCTACAATGGGAAAAGGTTAAAACTGCATATGAAAAGGAAGTTTTTAAAACCACCTAATTACTATTTCAAATTAGCATGTACAATAGACTATAAACATAGACATTATACTCTCAAGTAAATTAAAAACATGCCTTATATCTGGAACATTCCATTTCAGCTAACACATTACAACTAAGGCATAACAATGTAAAAAAGGAGGAAAGAAAACTTTAGAGCAGGTCACAGAAATGACAGAGAAGAACTTGAGAATCAGAACTTTGAAGATCAGTTTACAAAAACACAAAATATAAACTGATATTAGGGAAAGGTAAAAATAAAGACATAAGGCAATGTGACTTACAGAAATAAATAGCCTTACAAAACAGGTATATGTTTTTAAGTATGTCAATGCAAACACTAGTATTTTCCTTATTAAAAAGGGAGAGTTTGGTAAGATTAACAGGCATATTTATATAGAAGTATAGTCAAGATTATAGAATAATTTTAAACTTCTGAGATTAAGATTCAAGGACCATGTCAAAAAAATATAAGCACATTAAAGAAATAAGCTAATATGGAGAAAATGTCAATGCAGACACACTAACATAAGAATTTAAGAGGCATGTTTCTTACATTCTTCCCTTTAAAATCTAAGAAATTGGTATTATTTAAGCCATAGGTATAGAAATACACAAATCAACTCATTTTTATCACAGAAATATTGATGTTCCAAAATATTTTGTTTGTGTGTGTGTGTGTGTGTGTGTGTGTGAATATTGTATACATACACACAAAAATGGTCAAAATGTAACCAAATACTTGTATATTTATATACTCACTGTAATTCTCTTCTATACTCACTGTATTTTTTAAATATGCAACTAATTAAAATTAGTTTCTCCATGTATTTTCAAATTATAAAAATTTATACCTACTAGCCAAAAGGTACAGTTTTATACCTGCAGTGCAAAAAACACTTTTCTCTATGGTTCAAGGGAGAGAAAATAAACATAAGCAGCACAGCATAAAACAATTTTACTGTGTAGCTTTCTGGATATCCAGCTATTGGGATTTCATCATTTGTCATCACAGTGAACATTTTAAGCAGTGGCCCCAAGAATTAATCCACTGTGTATTCATGTCCTGGATTCCCACTGGTGATATTTTTTACTGTGCTATCAAGTAGAAATAAGCTACTGCTTATTATCTGGTAAGAAGCTTGGCTCAAAAATACTTTCCTAGTAAATTACCAAAATAATATATACACTTGGCTACAAAGTGTTTTTTTCTGTTTCTCTCCTAATTTCAAAGGAATTTCACAATAATCAATAATTTGCTTATATAATGCCTCTCCCACCAACAGAAAAGCACATTGTGTAAAGCTTTGTTTGAAAGCCCCCTCAAACTAACAAGGAGTTTACAATTTGTTTAAATTATCCTGAATGGTTCAGAATAAGAATGTAGCTGCCATTTTTATATTTTGCCAGAGGTTACAATCCAAATTAGTGGCAAGATAATAGTTTTGAAAATTCCAAGGCAAATAGTTACATAGAACACAAGTTTAACCAAAAAATTGCTTCTAACTCTAAAAAAACCCAGTTGCTCTTAGGAGTATTTTAAAATTCATAATTTGATATCCTTGCAAAACAGTAAGAGAAAGCTTACTCTTTCCTATATGACCCAAGATCAAAGTGAAACTAGACCATTAAGGAATAAAAAGAACAAAAACTTTAAATTTTATTAAGTAAACTGAATACCTAATTAGGCATTAACTCCCTTTAGTTGCGTTCATCTTTATTTTAAATGTGTTAGAAAAATAATTTAAACTGTCTTTATATATACAATCATGCCATTAACAAGTTTACTTATTGATTTTAGTTCTATTTGTTAGTTAATGCATATTCAATAAGTGTAGACAATGACAATTCATAAAAAAGCAAAGGTTCCATTTCTCTAGAAACTGCTAACCTTATATAAATATTATATAAAATTAAAAATTCCAGTGAAATGTAATCTTAAATTTAAAAAAAAGTATCTCTCAGAAGCAAACTAAATAATTTAATTTTAAAGCTTAAAAAGTTTATGAAGTGATGTCACAAATTTCATCCCACTTACTCCTCCCTAACCTTTACTTTTAGAAACTACAGGGGGGATGAGGGAGGGGAAGACAGTTAAAAAGTAGCTTAAATGCAACAGAAAAATTCCTTATAGCCTCACTTTTCTCTTTTTAAAAAATGCAAAACAAAGACACTATTCATTGCTCCCGTTGTGGGGATGCTTACTATGCATATCTCTGTCACAACTAAGCCAAAGCCCAATGGATAGGAGGCGCCATAATTTTCCATAACAAAATAAAATAAAGCTTACCTTTGTATGTGGTTCCTGTCTCTTACCAGGCAAAAACTGGAAATCTGGGGAATCATCTCCATAACTTTCTTGGTTGGCTCAGAAATATTGCTTTTAAAATCTGATTGGGTCTCTTTTTGCTGCAATAGCTCCTGTTTGGCATATTCTTTGAGCCTTTTGTAAAGGGTGCGTAGGCCTTGTGCTGTTCGAGGAGGGCGATCTACTCCAATTGCATTATAGTTAACTGCTATGATATCCCAACATCTATTCTTTTCCACTATTACTGAATGTTTATTAGTGTGTTCTTCGAGAATTTTCACATATGGCTTCACAAGCTTTAGCAAATCAAGCTTTTCAGATAAGGTAAAATTGGAAGATCTAGCCTTTCCTACCATTGTTCTTTTCAAATTAAGTAGGCAGTTTCCGAAACCACCATGCAGCCTTCAGCTCTGCTCAGCTCTTTTCACAAACAGAAAAAGATCAGGCTTAACTAGGCTAGCCTCATTTAGGCCCACGCCTACAGGGGAGGGTTTATTAAAATTCCTCCAGCTTAAGCTGACGCAGGTTCAGGAAATCTGCTTAAGCCAAGCCTGACCTACATAAAGCTTCTCACTGAAGAAGACAGGAAGGCACAAGCAAAACACACTTGTGTATAAAGGGAACAGCTCGAGACAGGATTTAATACACAAAGGTCTAGAGATAAGCATGGAACACAGCTAAAAATTAGCTAATTTAGTGAGAATATCAAATTTCACACATGTATGCCTAGCTGACAGACTGAACTGCATTGCAGTATCACTTTAATAAAAACAAAAGAGGAACAGTTTTGTGCTATTTATTTACAAATCCAGTAGACAGAAAACCAAAAGATATGAGTAGTGAATGTAGTAATTCCTAACAGAGCCTCTCATCACTGTTTCTGAGCTGAGTGTTCTCCCTTACAAAATCTGCATAATGCTGGACCTGCTGTCAATCAGGAATTGCATATCCACTAGCTAGTTAGGTTACACCCAGACCCAGACTCCACAGTAAAGCTAAGCTTCTCCTTCATTTTACAGTCTACATTAGCCTCTGCATATTTTTTTCAGTTAAGAAGAAATTTTTCCAGAACACCCAATCTAAAAAGCAGGTAAAAATCATATTTTTAAAGCAATGGATTATTCTAGCTGTAATGTATGTGAATATGCTAGCCTGCCTTATCATGTGTAAAAAATCACTATTCATGGTGAGAAACAGTATAATCACGCCTTAAGACTCCACACACGAAATCGAATTTGCTATTATAACAGAGCCAGATTTTTTATTTAGCTATATTCACACAGTTTGGACTATGAAAGGAAACAGCTAGTCTCGTCATTTTCAAGGCCACCAGTTTCAGTGCTTAGAATATCTTTGTTAACCCCAGTATGAAAATACATGATACATAATAATGTAAGTAAGACAAGCCTATTTTTCTCACAATATATATGTTTTTTCCAGATAGGGGAATAAATCAGAACATATTTGAACATAGTTCTATCCAATCAAACTATTACTGAACAACTGTGATAGTATTAAAAGGTGGGGAAATAAATTTTTTAATTACTGACCACGTATAAAAATGCTCCCAGGCACTGTGTAAGACCCACTGAAATCAAGTCAATCTAGATACAGCACCTATCCAGGGAACTGTAGTTCTACAGAAATGCTATAAATTCTCAATTATCTTGTTTTTCATTCTTTTAACAATGCAGAAGCAAATTAAATTGAGCTCTCACCTTGAGCCAGATACTGTGTTAGAAGCTTTAAATGTATCATCTTTCAGAAAACCAGTGAAAGACTGCTGGATGTCCTGTGGAACGCTAGGTGTTGTCTGGTATACCCCACTGAGTAATTTGATTCTATAATAGTTCTTTCCTTTCATTGTCTTTGAGCAGTTTTACAGCTCTGTAAATTGTAGAAATCAGCAATGCAAATGATTCTTGTCCATAGAGATGCAAAAAGAAAATTGACCTGCCCCAACAACTGGACCACAGGTACTCAAAATCATACTAGCATTTCTAGCATTTTCTGAGCTTTCACAACATTAAAAGAGAACCAAAGAAAGAACACAAGGTATGTATTTTATTTAATTATTTTGTTATTTTCTGAAGAAATACAAGTATTACGTTAAGATGAATAAAATACTACTAAAATATGAAAAATGTTCAATCTCATTAGCTATCAAGGAAATGTATACTAAAAATGATTTTCATTCATAGATTGGCAAAATTTTTTAAGACTTAAAATGCCATGAGTTAAGGCCAGGCTCAGTGGCACATGGGCCTATAATCCCACAGTTTTGAGAGGCCAAGGATCACTTGAGCACAGGAGTTCAAAACCATCCTGGGCAACATGGAGAAACCCCATGTCTACTAAAAATACAAAAATTAGCCAGGTATGGTGGCATGTGCCTGTAGTCCCAGCTACTCGGTAACCTGAGGTGGAAAGATCACTGGAGCCCAAGAGGTTAAGGCTGCAGTGAGCCATGATCATACAACTGCACTCCAGCCTGGATGACAGAGCCTAAAAAGAAAAAAAAGAAAGAAAAGGAAAGGAAAAAAATGCCAAGAGTGGATAAGGATACAAGGGAAGGAGTACTCTTCTGTACTGTTGAAGGGAGTGTAAAATGACATTTTGGATAGTGATCTGGGAGTATCAGTAGATACTGATATTTTACATGACTAAGAAATCTTCTAAAACTGTAGTAATTTTATGTCTCAGAATCTACCCTAGAAAAATACTCAAAATGCACACAGGAGCAATGAAGCATTCTATGTAGTTGCATAGAGTGAAAGCAATCTAAAAGCACAGCAGTTGCAGTTAAAATCATACAACACATCCTTATGGATTACTCCAAGCAGCATTAAATCAAAGAAGATTATAATGTATTTGAATATATCGTGCTGTTGATGAGAAAAGTCAAACTCTGTATAAAATATTTTCAGCGATTTATTCTGAGCCAAATAACCATGACCGTGGCCCATGACACAGCCCTCAGGAAGCCTTGAGAACATGTGCCAAGGTGGTCAGGGTATAGCTTAATTTTATATATTATATATATGTATTTATATATTTTATATATATTATAGATTTATATATTTTAGGGAGGCATGAGACATCAACCAAATACATTTAAGAAATACATTGGTTTGGTTCAGAAAAGCAGGTCAACTCAAAGTGGTGAAGGATGCAGGGGGGTTCCAGGATATAAACATTTTCTGGTTTACAATTAGTTGAGTTTTTCTGAAGACCTGGGATCAATAGAAAGGAAATGTATGTTCAGGTTAAGACAAAGGATTGTGGAAACTAAGTTTTATTGTGAAGAGGAAGCTCTCAGATAGCAGACCTCAGAGAGAACAGGTTGTAAAATATTTCTTATCGGACCTAAAAAGGTGCCTGGATCTGGAAAGGAAGGAAGGAAAACAAGGGGAAAGTAGATTCTATATAGAATGTGGATTTTTTTCCCATAAGGGAAGGCTTTGCAGGGACATTTCAAGATATGGCAGAGAAACATGTTTTGGGGTAAAATATTTTTATTTTCTTCCATGTTATCCCAGAGTCAGACTGAAAAGTCATGATATACAGAGTTAAATAAAACCCATCTGATGAGAATTTATGGTTTATAAGGGCATGACTCCTTAGATAGGAATTTGAGCAAGATTTTAAAAAATCAGAGCTTAATCCCCAATGCAGACAGCACAAATTAGTGATAACCTATGTAAACTATAATTGATGATTAACCTGAAATATTTATTACTGTTTTGATTATATTATAATAAAATTATCTTTCTAGATTAACACAGAATGGACAAGTTTTTAATTTAAAAAGAAAGTATACTACTGATGCAGAATTGAGTGGAAAACACTGTGCAGGACTTTCTAAAGCAGACTACAAGAAGTGTCATGGATATAGCTGTCAAAAACATTAAAAATATGTGTGCAAATGCTATGAATCACTTCCAGTTTATGGAACTGGTAAAATAAATTGAATGACTTTTTTGTTCTATGCCAATGCTCACTGGCGTAGTCACAGAGTTTTATGGAGCTGTCTGAGAGTAAAAAACTTAACCTGTTTTTCCTCTGCTCTCACACCACAACAATCACCACGGAAGACTTGTGCAACCAAATATGTGGCAGTTTCTCCCCACACACCAAGCAAGAAATAAGTTCTTCAATGGAGAGTAGCTGGGTGTCCTCCAACTCAACTCCAACACTATCTACCAGGATATAGTGTTAGATCTCACATGTTGAGGGCTCAGTACCACAAACCCCATAGCCCCACCAGTCACAAGTCTGGGCCTCCAGAACAGCTGATAGAAAAGCTTTAAGTTGGGGCTCTGACAATCGCCTCTGGGTTCTATGAGTTTGCTAGAGTGGCCACAGAACTCCAGAAACATGTTTACCAGTTTATTATAAAGGATATTACAAAGGATACAAATGAACAGCTGGATGTAAGAGATGCATAGGGTGAGTTATGGTGGAAGAAACACAGTTTCCATGCCCACTCCAGGCACAACCTTCCAGAAACCTCCACTTGCTCAGTCATCTAGAAGTTCTCCAAACACAGGGCTTTTGGGTTTTTTATGAAAGCCTCATTACCTTGGCATGATTGATTAAATCACTGGCCACTGGTGATCAATTTAACACTCAGCCTCTCTTCTCTCCCCAGAGATGGGGTGAGGCTGAAAGTTCCACCCCTCTAATGGTGCCTTGGTCTTCAGGTAAACAACCCGCATCCTGAAACTACATAGGGGCCGTCAGCCATCAATCAATCACTAGCACACAAACAGGCATTACTGTGGAGGTTCTAAGGATTTCAGGAGTTGTATGCCAAGGAAATGGAGTCGAAGACCAAATATGTATTTCACAATATCGTATGATTAACTTCAGTTGGAGATTTTTGTGAAACAAAATGCTTATAAAACAATAAACAAAGGCAAAAAAAAAAAAATCAGCCTAAGTGTCTATCAACAGATGAACAGAAAATGAATTGCACATGCAAAATGGAATATTATTAATATTATTTGGTTATAAAAAATGAAATCCTGTCATTTGCAAAAACATGGATGGAACTGGAGGTCATTATGTTAAGTGAAATAAGGCAAGCACAGAAAGACAAATGCCGTATGGTCTCACTCCTATGTGGGAGCTAAACGGGTGAATCTCGTGGAAGTAGAGACTTGATTAGTGGTTACCAGAGGCTGGGAAGGAGAGGTGGGGATTAAGAGAGGTTGGTTAATGGGTACAAAACTACAGTTAAACAGAAAGAATAAGATCTAGTGTTTAATAACATAGTAGGATGACTATAGTTAACAACAGTTTATTGTATAGTTTAAAACAGAAGAATTGGGATGTTCCCAACATAAAAAAATGTTTGAGGTGATGGCTGTCCTAATACTCTAGTCAAAGACAATAAAATCTTGGGACCCCAAACTCATTATACCAAAGAGAACATTAAACCTAGAAAATGAGTCATGCAACACTGCCTTTCCTTCCTCCTGTTTCCCTTCATAGCTATAATTTCACAACCCTGTGTCATAGCATTACATGTTAAATCAGGGTCCCACAATGGCAAAAGGACATATACCTCCCTCACAAATTTCTCACAAGAAAATGCCTTCCTAGTCACTAAAACCTTTCAGGATACATATCCCCCTATAAAACCAGTACATGCCAGTTGTAACCTTCCATGTGCAACCTAAGTTTGATTCTTAAAACTGAGTTCTGTTAAATCTCACACTGACAATGTCAATTACAACCTTACCTTCCCAGGTACAGAACAGGGACAAGACAAAAAAAATCACTCCTTCAATCATGTCTTTTGCAGGGACATGGATGGAGTTGGCAGCTATTATCCTCAGCAAACTAACTGCAGGAACAGAAGACTGAATACTGCGTGTTCTCACAAGCGGGAGCTGAATGATGAGAACACATGGACACACCGAGGGGAACACACACTGGGGCCTATAGGGGTGCTGAGGAGAGCATCAGGAAGGATAGCTAATGGATGTTGGCTTAATACCTAGGTGATGGGATGATCTGTGCAGCAAACCACCATAGCACACATTTACCTATGTAACAAACCTGCATATTCTGCACATGTATCCCTGAACTTGAAATAAACATTGAAGAAAAATAATAATAATAATCCAAGGGAATAAAATAAAATTTTTAAATTAAAAAAAATTACTCCTTCCCCTACCCCAAGATGCATAACTGACTCTTTACTCTGTCTTTTCAAATGTTTACCTTACCGCTGGGCACGGTGGCTCAAGCCTGTAATCCCAGCACTTTGGGAGGCCGAAGCGGGTAGATCACGAGGTCAAGAGATCAAGACCATCCTGGTCAACATGGTGAAACCCCATCTCTACTAAAAATACAAAAAATTAGCTGGGCACGGTGGCGCATGCCTGTAATCCCAGCTACTCAGGAGGCTGAGGCAGGAGAATTGCCTCAACCCAGGAGGCAGGCGTTGCGGTGAGCCGAGATCGCACCATTGCACTCCAGCCTGGAGCGAAACTCTATCTCAAAAAACAAAAAAAAAAAACAAATGTTTACCTTACCTTATGTAAAACATAGATTTACTGAGCCTCACAAAAATGTAGCCATTTGTCTCACTGCCTCCCTTACCTTCCTTTGTCCCTTCTGCTTGCTCTTTACTCTTCAGTACTGAGTTCTAGAAACCCTCTTTTGGAAAGCACAGGTAACAGATGTTCTTGTGACTTGTGTTTTTCCCAGGTGCATCCTTCAACACTGGCTTAATAAACCTTTACTGATTGAGTCACCTTTTTGGTTAATACACTGATTTGATCATTACACATTGTATGCATATATCGAAGTATCATATACACTCTCAAAATATGTACAACTATTATGTATCAATAAATAATAAAAATAAACTGCAAAAATAAAAAATATATATAAGTTTACCCATTTTGGGGGTTTTCATTTACTTATAAAGGCTCCTGTATCATATAAAATTTATATTAAATTTTATGCTTATGATATACAATAGAAAAATGAATGTAGAATACAGATAATTTAATGAATAAAACATAAATATCAAACATATTAAAAACTCCACAAGTAAACAGGGAGAT